AATGCTAAAAATCCGACTTTCTGTTAGTGGGGTATTTTGACTGTATCTTTTTTTCCTACACAGCTAGAGAGTTGCGGTTTTCACCACTGGATTCAGCACCCAAAACTACATCTGGAAATGTATATCTTGTTTCCCGCACCTCTCGTCGATGCAATGATGGTAGGGTCTATATGGATTGACCCTAATGTGTTTGACATTAGAAATCCGTTATTAAGCACTTTGCAAAGATTTAATCTTGTAAAGAGAGAAACAGTGGGCAAAAAATGACTGCTCACTCTCTGTTCATATTACTAGTTGGATATTCGATATTATCACGAAGATCATACCCGTGTCCTTCATTTTCAACAAATTGTTTAATAGCTGCTATGAGAAACCAGAATAAATTGGATTGTTGTGTCAATTGTAAACACTGTTGATCTTGAAATAATTCTTTTAATCGAGGTGATAGTTTCGTTTCTACTAAACGTGATAACATTGTTCGTTTAGCCTCTTCAAAATTTTCGATATTTGCTGATTGATTTTCTTCTTCGTCGTGTTCAGGATGTTTTGATAGTTGCGTTATTATTTTTTTAAAATTGTCTTTTTCTTGACGTGTACGAGGTAAATCGGACGATGATTTTTTATTTTCATGTTGCCACAATTGAAGAGTTTTAAAAAGAATGACTAACGATGGTAAATGACCATGTTCTTCACGTTTTAATGTAAGAAAATTAATGTTATTACAATAGCTGAGAAATTCTGATATTGGATGATCTAAACGTAAATCCGGTATAGTATCGTCGGGATGAGCTTCAATTACATAATGCTCTCTAACTTGCAAACGAATCTGACCAATAAAACTAGAAATAAACAATAAGTCAAAGTATTATCTTTCTTTCAAATGTACAAGTATTTGTCACTAACCCATTTGTTCTACAGACAATCAACGGTACATGTGCGCTCCATAAACGATTGGCTAATGTTAATAATGTTTGTTGACTTATATTCAACGTATTAGCTAAAACAACACACTGGTATTTGTCAAATTGATACATTTGTTGTTTTAAAATATCTTCTAATGAAACGTTCAAATAATCACCACTAACATCTGGATTGAGTTGATTTAATAATTCACATGTGACTTGAGCACGTGGTTGACCAATTGAATTAGATTCAAGAAAAAAATTAGTACCTAAATCTGCATGAGTAACAAGTTGATTATCAATAATTGTAAAATGTCCAATACCTGAAATGAAATTTTAAAAACCTAAATCTAACAAATTGTTTATGTTGAAACGACAAGGTTGTTTTTATCCATTCTGTTGTATAAAGGATTTACACAACTAAAATTATTTTAAAATTTTCTTCATATTTTTACTTACCGGGTAATATTAACGATTTCAATATTTCTGTACCAAGACAATTAGCACCAATTAAACAAATATGAGCAGTTTCTAAAGCTTTTTGTCCATGATCACCCCACAAACGTAATTGACGATCGTATTTGAATTCTTTTGAATTAGAATCGGGAAGTTTTAATGCTGCAGACTGACTCATTTTAGATGAAAACCTACAATCACACAAACAGCATGATTAATTAAACAAAGAAATACAATTGAACAGGAGTGTAACAAACTATTAACAACAAAAAAAGCGATATGTTGTTTCTAAAAATATTTAAAATGAGTATAAATTGTATCCAATATGGATTAAATAATGAATCATTTTGTGAGTGTAAAAGAATGAGATATTTTTATAATTATGTTTACTAACGGGGGAAGAATGGCGTAGTTTTTATTTTCAGTTTTTCTTCTCTGCCTTTGAGCTCACAGAGCTTATCTTATTACCGAAAGATTCCCCGTTCATTTATCTACAAAATGGTGCATAGAAGATGATCCTAAGGTTTGAGATGCTGTCTTAATTGAACAAACATTGAAATGCCCGAAAAACTTAAAAAATTGAACACAAAAAACTGTATTTCGTCAATATGGAGTTGAACGCATGCGTTGTGTCTAGAGCAAGTAGGTAAAATGTAGTCCTTAAAACTCTCTAACGATTAGCTATAATGCGGATTTTCTATCATTATTTCTGTGTTTTCAGTAATGATTTTTGCAAAAGTCCTATGACAGTTTTTTCAACCGGTATTTTGGGGCTATTTGTAAAATGAATATTGCTCAGACAAAACCGAACCAGTCAGACTCATTCTTGCGTCATTTTGAAGACAAATGTTTGCTCTACTCGACTCACGTGCGCAACGCTTAATGTAACTTTTCTGAATATTGAAGATGTTGAAACTAGCGCATTTTGTTCAGTAATGGCTGCTAGTTATTAAATAGTCATTTTTATCACATCACACCGATGAGAAGAAAATGAGTCTTGCGCGATCTGAAAGAGGACATCTAAACGTTCTAGGAAATTATGTGCTATCTTCTTCCAATCACTTTCAACACGGAGTTCAAACTTTAAAATTATAATGGGAAAAAAAAATTGAACTTTCATTTATTTAAAAGAGAGAACAATAAAATACAAAAATAAAATGAGTGAACAGTCGTTAATACCTTTCTTTATACAAGTAATCTACTGTATTTTAATTAAAATCACCGACAATAACATTCTGCACATATCTCTGTCACGTGTAATAACAAAACAAAATTCAAAATCAATGGCACTAAGATATTTCAATATTGATGAATAAAAATAAACGATAAGTAAAAATAACCTATCCTATTGAGTGGAAAATAAACGAGAAAAGAACACATATAAGTACATCATTCAATGTAATAAATAGAGAAACAGTGAAAGAAAGACGAAACGAAATCACCAAAAAAGTTAATTCAAATTAACATTCTATTCGTTGAAAATTTCTTTGACCTTCTCTATTATACGTTTCTAGAATGAGAAAAAATATCACATAACGAAAATAAAAACTTTCTGAACTGTTTTCTGAACAAATAAAAAGCAAAAAAAAAAAAAAGATTACGACAAAAATATATAATAGAAAAGTGTTGTTACGATCAGATTAATAGTAAATAAATGATTTAATCATCATCTCCATAGTTAACACCTTTTGCTCGTTTTCGTTTTTTAGAAGTTGGATTGATAATACTCATATTTGCTCGTTGTTCCGGTTTTAATAATACGGATTTATGATAATTTGATTCGTATAATTTTCCTTGCCCATCTCCATCACCACGTTCAATATGTTTTGCTTGTACTAATTGTGATACACGTTGTTGTAATGTTTTACATTCTACTGACAAATGTTCAGTTTGTCTATATAAATAAAACAATATCTTTGTAGTATAATGCAATTTTTCAATATCATCTGATAATTCAGCTAAAAGTAGATAAACAAACATATAGAAAAATGTATTACTGATCTACCGACCAACAAAGAAAAAAAGTGCTTTCTTTCGTGATTTTTCGTCGAATTTTTGAGGTAGTTTTATTTTCTCTTAAATACATTGACATTGCAAAAGAATTCTAATCAATAATTATTCATTCAAAATAAAATTGAGCTTATAATCGTCTAAATGCGTTTGAACTACACTTAGACTACATTAGTAATTTGAATAAATGTAGAAGTTTAAATTACTAATGTAGTCTAAGTGTAGTTCAAATGCATATAGAATATTACAAGCTCAATTTTATTTTGAATGAATAATTATTGATTAGAATTACAATGTGTTTAAGACAAAATAAAATTGCCCCAGAAATTTGACGGAATCCATTAGCTATTAGATCATACGTAATAGTCATAGAAAATTACTTAATGTAATTGTAATCGTTTCTTTTTTAGCAGCACTTGAATTTGTCAAAACTAGATTAATTTCATCGGTAGCTGATGATTTTAATAATTCAAATTCTTTTAATTGCAATTTTTGATGTAAAAATATTAGAAAATCGTGTAATTTTTCTATATTTAATAAATGACGATACAATTCCAATTGTTTTTCATCAAGATTAATTAACCATAAACGATGTTGCAATGTTTGTTCATCTATATTTTCCAATAATAAAAATAATTGTAAATATTTTTTATCAATTGTTGTGTACAAAAGAACATCTTCATTTTTCGTAAATAAAGAGGAACAAGATTTACGAATAAAATAATGATCAAGACCAGATGTTTTCACACTTTCTAAGAAAGACATTATGAGTAAAATCTAAAATAATGAGTAAAACAAAAAACTAAATAAAAAGAATTTGATAGATTGAGTAATAATGACGAATAAACTTAATATGTAAGACAACAAAGTGTGTGAGAATCTATGAATTTAACTAGTGAGTCAAACACGCCCAAATAAATAGCTAAAAAAATAATCAAGATCATCAAGTTGTTGATTTGGCTAGTGTCTACAAATCTCGAGAGAATTTTTAGAAAACTAGATTTAAATTGTGTCTGTAGAACAGGTTAGTACAAAATCTAATATAAAATACACACACTAGCATATTGATATCAATTGTTGAAAGAAAAACAATGAGAGCATCAATGGATGAAACTTGAAAGGCGAAAACATCCTTTCTTTCTCTATTTCCTTTGAACATGTATGAAACTACGTAGTAGTTCAATGGATTGATTAACGTTATGATTAAAAATGGATTTGAAAATCTAGAAAAAACAACTCGAGAAGAGACTCATTCTAGTTCATACAATAAGCGACTCTTCAATAACAATAAATTCATAATTAGTGTAAATTTTTTCTAAAAAAATTTAAATTCACCCATATTTAAGAGAAAAAAACGTCAAAAAAGAAAATACATTATGTGGAAATAAATAATAATAGTAAAGCTGTGAACAAATAAATGGAAATATTGCTCATTCACATACGTAAACATATCATCAAAAGCCACACATTACTGGTGTGGTACCATTTCCATTTGTTTTTCCATTTGTTTTAGATCTTCTTTTAACTCGTCTAATGTTAAAGATTTTACTTGAAATACTTCAGAAAACGGTTGAACATTGCCTTGAGGATTTCGTTCCGAATAGGCATTTTGGTCATTAATAATAGCAAATACAATAAAACGAAACGACTTTGAAAATTGTTCATCATTATCTAAAACTTCTTTGAATAGTCGAGCTATATGTTTAGCCGGATTACCGTATGCACCTAAACCAGAACAAAGACTCTACATACATTCTTCTCTGTCTAGCTGAATTTTCTTGGTTTGGAAGAACAACGAACTTCTCAATAAAAATATCGTAAAATCACTCTGATCGTGACCATTCTATATGTTGCCATTTAGATGCTAGGCTTTCGTATGAACAGGACTCCAATATGCTCAGTTTTTGAAAAAAATTTATCGTCTGTAATAAAGTGAACTTAGATCTTCCAGTTTGGACTATACAAAGATCAATTAGATATTTATAAATAAAAGGACTTACCACATCCGAATGCTGACAATATAATTGTATCATGTTGATTTTCAATGGCAATTTGAAAAATTCCTTCAATTTTCTTTTTCGTTTCTTGAATGAGTTTTTTACCACTTAGCTGAAATTCACCCGTTTGATTATTTGTTTCTAACGGTGGATGTTTGAAGGCAGCTACAGCTATGAATGATAGGTATTGTGGATGTGACAAGAATGGGTAACCATCTGATTCGGAACCACGAAATACACAAGCATTCGGTGTATAAATTCCACCAAACATTGGTACATTATAGGGCCAATCACGATTTATTTGATGATAAGGATCTTCTAAACACTGAAACAAATTTGTTCGACGATGAAGATTTTCTTCTTGAGCACCGGCACCTAGATACATACACACAAATAAAAATCAATTTTGCCTACCAAGATGGTTTGTAAGTAACGCACACACAATCAAAGTGTCCCGGAAACAACAGAACATTTTTGATAACATCGCATCATGTCGTTACTATTCATTATTTGATGTTGATCTATACTCTGTACGAGTATTCTAAAGTATAACACAAGAAAGTAATCTTCTCACCGTTTTTCCAACCACCTAAAAAATAAACAAAAGTTCAACATTTTTTACAGAAATAAGAATGAAAGCATACCTCCAGGTTGATATGCCGATGCCATATTTAGCACAACTGGTTTACAATCACCATTCTTGAAAAGTAGCCCCGCTTCTAGACAATCTCCTTCAACTACATAAATAACTGGTTTATCATATGTTTTCGTTGGCTTTTTGTATTCATGTTCATTTGTGTAGAGTTTTGTACGTTCAGCTGCTTCAAACATACGTCGTTTGTCTAGTTCAATTTTTTCCATATTTTCAAGACGATATGAGCCTGTCAAAACTGAATTTATTGTTTGAATTTGAACAAGTTTTCGCAGAAGACGCCGTAAATCTGGGTGAATATCAGTGGAATTTGAACAATTTGCATATGCAATTGGTGAATGACGATGTTTCAAAGCGAGTTGAGATGTCGACTCATCATTGCGTAGTGCACGAAGTTGGTGCTCAGAAAATGGGTCACCGGTAATATCATGACATGCTGTGGGATTCAATCGAAATGGATAACCGACTGGTTGATGTGATGCTGAGTGAGAATTTCTGTTGCCACGACGATTACCTCGGCCATAAAATGACGATGACGAGCAGGATGCCATGTGCTGCAATAAATTAGTTTCTAAAATAAAAAAAGATTACGCAATTATAAATTCACTATTTTAAAGCATGGTCTATATACATATGTCTTTAGCTTTATATTGTGAAATTTTTGATAATAATAGACTACCATGGTAGTGTAATTTCGACACTAGCATGCAAGACTAAGAAAGATTCCTTTTTTTAACAGACCTTTCAACCTGTACTAAAGATTCTTACGAGATTAAAACAACCCATAGATCGAACCTGGTACTTTTATTGCTTTCTTTTCATAGCATAGAAATGGATGGATCAAGAGCTGAGTCATTCGTATAATATACCATAAAAAAGGCATAAATATACTACATAGTATTATCAATTTAAAAATATCAAACGAAGAGTGATATGAGATATTCATGCCGTCCTTGTATTGCAAAATCTATTTTTTATACGTTAACTAACTAGAGTTCTAAAATAAAAGCACATATATTGTTGTTGATTCAGATTTGATTATAAAAAGTGGAGTAATTATTCACCGAGAGTACGATACCTGCTAACCATTTGATCCATAAAATACATATTGAACTTCATCTTGCCATTGGTGAATAACAAACGAAAGGAAAAGAGTGAAAACGATGTCGTAGATATACTTTACACATTTATAGATCATCGACAAAAGTGGAAGAAACTGATGAAATTTTATTAATACACACCAAAAACGACGAAGAAGATTGTTTGAAAGTCGGAATTTTCTGGCTATATACAGCTCTATGTGCTCTACAAATGATCTTTGAACGGTAATTCTTTCGAAAGCATATCATAGTTTATATCGACTTTGTCCATATCCAAATCAACAGGACTAGTGCAGCTCGAGCTCCTAATGGCGAATATCACGTTTAAAGTTTTTTATAAAAACAGTACGATGACTGCCCTACCTCATGGATCCCATTTTCCACCAGATAAGACGGACATTTTCATTACGAACCAATTTTTTTGAGCTAGGACTGCAAGATTAGATCTATACATGTAGGGCTTAAGAATCTCTAACGGATAAAATATTTATTCCAAAACGGGAAAGAGAGTCTTGGAAAAAATTTAGAAAAAAACAAAATCGCTTTTTTCAAAAATAGGCCTGTTTTGTAGAACATATCTTTCTAACAAAATCAAGTTAAAACAAGACAACGAGGTATGCGTTCGACGCGTCTTTTCAAGCTCTATTCGCTGAAGCGGCTCTCATTGAGATTCAAGAAGACTGAATGATAGAAAAAGTTAGTTTATAAAGGCGGTTTTCGTCGTTTTTCAAAGTGCAGCACTATTCCACGAGATTATACTCTAGTAAATGTACTTGAGCCAAGTACTTGGATTAACTAATGAGGACAGTACTTCCCATGTTTACGACTGCGGTAAATTTGCGCCGCAATGTGATCGCACAAGGTAGAACACAATTGTGCGTAATTGCGGTCTTGCGATCACAATTGTGATCAGGAAAATGAGGTCTCACATGTGGATTGTTCCAAGTGCGTCCGGAAGAACATGTTAGGCCAAGTGAAAATTCTCTGAAAGACCCTGATTCGACTAATTGAAATACTGTTTCCAACAAGCTGTTTTTTTTGCTCTTCCTCAATAAACACTGGCTATTAAACAAATATTTTCTAGATCTTTTTTTGTCCGTTTATTAGCAGTTTTCTCAGTTATGTTATTGTTTTTGCTTCGATCTCTTGCTCGTCCTTATTTTTACCCTTTGCAGCGTATTTATTCTGAGAGCATTACATGATTTTTTTTCCAAATATTTTGTGTTACCCTACGTTAGATAAAAAATAGAATTATAGATAGGCCACAGTTTTTTATATTTCCTCAAGACCCCGTTTTAATCGTTTTTTTTATTTTTATCAAGTGAGATTCTTTATTTACGTTCTTGATTTTGAACATAGCAATACTAAGCTAACAGAAATTATTCGTTTATTTTAATGTTTTCTTATTACTTTCTCTTTCTCTCTCTCTCTCTATTTTTTTGATTTCTTCATTTTATTTGAAATTAATTAATTTTTTATACAGTGTTCACCACCTGTAAAGATTGTTTATCACTTAAATTTAGTCTACTTTCAATTCACACGGCTATAGTACTAGATCAAAATAAGGTTTTAGCTGTACATTTTTTCATGTTATTTTCTTTGGTAAATGATCTAATTTGTTAAATGAAAACAAAATAGTTCATGTTTGCTATTCTTTTATCAGAGACAAAAAATTCCAATTGAATAATCTCAGCCTTGCAACTATTTACATAGGACTTGGGGATTTAAAGAACGGAATTGATTTTCTTGTTATTATTAATTTTTTAAAATATTTGGAATGTTTTTTTCAAATATATTGAGTGCTTTATCAATAAATAGTCGTGCTTTTTATTTTTTTATTGTAAACTATAGCTGATGGATAAACTATAGATCGTAATAAAAAACTTCGGGTTTTTTGAAATAAAAAAATCAATGATTGTTCTGTACATACGATTGTTATTATCTTTACTGAATTATATTACAACAAAGAATATTGGTAAAGTACTTATAATAAAATATTCTGTTTTGTCAGTCATCAGATCCTATGAGTAAACTATCTAACATATACTATTTGATTGATCTCTAATATTTTCAGTTTGGTTAAATGAATTTAAATAAAACGTGCGCATCAGTTCCGCAAAAAACTGCTTCATCATCTGATGAGTGCTTCGAACACGAATAAAGTTTTACTCAAATCTATGGAATAAATAATCTTATTATTAGAGTAATAAATTGATATAAACGGCTTCGAAAATGGTAATCATTAAAAGAAAAATCAAAATTTTCTCAACCCGACTGCTCATGGGTAAAAAAGTTGACAAAAAAAATGCATTAAAGGTTTCAAAATCAATTTTTTTTTGTCGTTTAAACGCGTTTTATCTCTTCGTTTGAAAAGGCGTTTTTCGGAATTTCGTAACGTGTTAGAGAACACGTTTTTCGATGAATGTGAACGACAATGAAAACGTTAATTAACGCGTTTTGAAATGATTCAGAAATAAAAACAGAGGGAAGATACAGAGGTATGGACCATCAACTTTTGTCTAACCATTCTTTTACTTTTCTCCTTCGGTCATATCCCCTTAACATTACATTAGTTGACAATAAACTCATGAAGAGCAGTAAAATGAAGCAATTCGAAATAACGCAAAATTTCAATTTCAAGAAAATATCATTTTAAAGTGTTTATTGACGTTCAAAACTTCAGAATAACGCGTTTGCTAACGATCGTTGAATTAACCATTTTCTGGCGCTTTTGTTGAACGCGTTTGCTAACGCGTTAAAACGATATAACTTCGAATTTCTTTCTTTTTGTAAACGCGTTTAGAAACGACACGTTAAAACGTGTTTCTATACCTCATCATAGAAAAAATTCCGCTCCTACCAACAAGCTCAATACATTTAACATCAGTCATGAAAGAAAACAAATCTTCAGTACAGAAATTTCTCAGAATTTTGCAAAATGTTCTAGACTTTTGTGAATGTTTAATTGAAAAATGCACTAATAGATTATACTTTCGTAAGCCGTTATCTTCTATTACATATTATAATTCCACTTCACATTTAGACAGTAAAGCTTTTTTTGTTATTTTAGCTCGAACTGGTGTTGAACTTTTATCACAGGAATATTTCCTCACGGATATAACATTCAGGCTGTGATGAAGGGAGAGCGAAAGAAAGTGACGGGAGAGGATGAAATTTGTGACTGTGAGTGCCCAGGAATATTTTATCACATGAAAATCATAGATACACAATATTAGTAGATGCAGGCTGGATAAGACAGGCAGAAATAAGATTTCTGTCTTATGTTTCGTATACTTTTGAGATATTTGCTGTTCTATCTTTGTACGAACCTAAACGTAAACTAAAATAAATTAAATTTTTCTGCATTATTTATACATATCATTCGTCTTATGATATTTCACCCTGTTCAGACTGTGTGAAAACCACTAACATACTCCCGAACATCACCTACGAATAAACAATCGTAGAACAATCTACACGGCATGTGCCATCGCTCTGGCAATATTTTCGCAAAACTCTGCCTAGATTTCCCAAATGATGATAAAATTTTAGAAAATTTTGCAAAATTCTGGGAAATTTTTTGTACTGGAGATTTATTTTCTTTCACCAGTGATGTTGGATGTATTTAGCTTGTTTGTGAGAGAGGAATTCTGGCTGTGATGAGGATAAATTTTTAGCAATACACAGTCCTTGCACATCATCAGAAATAAGCTTTTATCAGAATTGTAGAAAATGAAAAATTCTTCTTACAAATAAAAACAATAAACCTAGTAGGATAAACCTGTAGAATTGCAGTAGAATTTTATCTGATTTTCTGCTGGTTTATCCTACTAGGTTTATTGTTTTTATTTGTTGAATTATTCTCTTCGCACAGCCAGCCAAAATCAGGTGATTCTGAACTGAGATAAGCCCAAGACTTGTGAATACTGACGCACACATCGTCGAACAATAGTGAATTTTGATGGTTCACAGTGTTCGGTGCGAAAATTTGAGTTTAAAAGGATTTTTCATTTTCTACAGTAGAGTTGTATTTGTATTAGAATAACTGCAAAACACGTCGGTGATTATGTTCTCGTATAGAAAAAGAAAGGAAAATATATACGGAATTGTAAGAAATAACAAGAAAAGATTCCTATTATAGGAATGCTATAGAATTTTTGCTACCATTCTGTATCAAGAATCCTGTGTTATTCCTACCTTAGGATTTCATAGGACCCTACAACAGGAATTCTATGAAATCCTATTATCCGTAGGAACCTAGTAGGATTGCTTGAGTTGGGAGTACATACAAGTATCGTTACGAGAATGAGAAGCTTGATTATATCAATCCTCCTGGAAACCGTCGTTATTGTTTAAGTGAACAACCACGTTTGGGAGGTTGAACCTACCTGAGCAACTCACTTTTTTGATTTAATGATTGATTATAGTTCAAAACTTCAGACCCCATAACT